CATGTTTGGAAAACACATCGCGGCAGGACCGCGCAGCGACCATCGCGGCAGGACCGCGCAGTGAGCCATCGCGGCAGGACCGCGCAGCGAGCCAACGCGGCAGGACCGCGCAGCGACCATCGCGGCAGGACCGCGCAGCGACCATCGCGGCAGGACCGCGCAGCGACCATCGCGGCAGGACCGCGCAACGACCATCGCGGCAGGACCGCGCAGCGACCATCGCGGCAGGACCGCGCAGTGAGCCATCGCGGCAGGACCGCGCAGTGAGCCATCGCGCATGCAGTTTACGCTGTTTGTTCGCGCTGCTTCGCACGCTTGGCTCGATGGAGCCGGAGCATTTTTTGCACTGATTGACTCGGTTTAATTTTGTTGTGCGATAATCGTTTCTATAGCGGTGTCTCCGCTGGCGGCCGGTCCGCCTTCATATAGTCGCATGGGGTGGTTTCTCCGCCGGCGGCCGGTCCGCCCATTTTGCTTTTCTCGTTTGATGATATATCATTGTAGCGGTGGTTCCGCTGGCGGCCGGTCCGCCAAGCTTTTTTTGCCACGTTCATTTTCATTTCGAGATGGCACTTGAAGCGGTTGTCCGCTGGCGGCTGGTCCGCCCAGGAATTGTTCGGCGTGATTTTTATTTCGAGATGGCACTTGAAGCGGTGGTCTGATGGCACTTTGCGATTTTTTGCATGTTTGGATTGTGAGTGCACGGGTGAAAGGCTGCAAGACTCAATCAAGGCTCCAGAATCCAGACTGCTGACTGCAAACTCCACTGCAGACTCCAGACTGCAGACTCCAAACTGCAGACTCCAGACTGCAAACTCCAGACTCCAGACTGCAAACTCCAGACTGCAGACTCCAGACTGCAGACTCCAGACTGCAGAGTCCAGACTGCCAACTCCAGAATCCAGACTGCAGACTCGAGATTCCAGATTCCAGACACAATGACTCCTGGCTCCAGGATCCTGATCATTTTGTGGTGGAATTCGGCCACGGGGCCAAGTTAAGTTATGTTAAGTCGTGGTGACGCAACTGGGCCTCACGGGGAAAGTTTGGCAGTTAAGTTGATTGAGTTACAATAGGGACTCCACGGCTCCACACGACCCGCCCAGGTTAAGTTAAGTTAAGTTTTGTTAAGTTCGAAAAAACTGCACCGGCCTTTCCGGGCTTTGGGGCGGGGCTGTCTGGATGCTGGATTCTGGGGTCTGGACTGTGAATTCTGGAGTCAGGAGTCTGGATTCTGGAGTCAGGAGTCTGCAGTCTGGAGTCTGCAGTCTGGAGTCTGCAGTCTGGAGTCTGGAGTCTGCAGTCTGGAGTCTGCAGTCTGGAGTCTGCAGTCTGTCTGTGGAGTTTGCATTCTGGAGCCTGGAGTCTGCAGTCTTGGAGTTGGCTGCAGTCTGCAGTCTGGAGTCTGGAGTCTGCAGTCTGGAGTCTGCAGTCTGGAGTCTGCAGTTTGGAGTCTGGAGTTTGCACTCTGGAGCCTGGAGTTTGCAGTCTGGAGTCTGCAGTCTGGAGTCTGGAGTTTGCAGTCTGAGTCTGGAGTCTGCAGTCTGGAGTTGGAGTTCGCAGTCCGGAGTCTGCAGTTTGGAGTCTGCAGTCTGGAGTCTGCAGTCTGGAGTCTGCAGCCTGGAGTCTGCAGTCTGGAGTCTGCAGTCTGGAGTCTGGAGTTTGCAGTCTGGAGTCTGCAGTTTGGAGTCTGCAGTCTGGAGTCTGCAGTCTGGAGTCTGCAGTCTGGAGTGTGGAGTTTGCAGTCAGCAGTCTGGATTCTGGAGCCTTGATTGAGTCTTGCAGCCTTTCATCCGCGCACTCACAATCCAAACATGCAAAAAATCGCAAGGTGCCATCAGACCACCGCTTCAAGTGCCATCTCGAAAAAAAATCACGCCGAACAATTCCTGGGCGGACCAGCCGCCAGCGGACAACCGCTTCAAGCGCCATCTCGAAATGAAAATGAACGTGGCAAAAAAAGCTTGGCGGACCGGCCGCCAGCGGAACCACCGCTACAATGATATATCATCAAACGAGAAAAGCAAAATGGGCGGACCGGCCGCCGGCGGAGAAACCACCCCATGCGACTATATGAAGGCGGACCGGCCGCCAGCGGAGACACCGCTATAGAAACGATTATTGGACAACAAAATTAAACCGAGTCAATCAGTGCAAAAAATGCTCCGGCTCCATCGAGCCAAGCGTGCGAAGCAGCGCGAACAAACAGCGTAAACTGCATGCGCGCGCGCGCCTGCCCTGCTGCGTTGAGTCACACGAAAATGTGTGATTTCCAGCGCGTCATGCTTCATCGTTGCCATGCTTCAAAACGCATGTGTTTGCAAACTCAATGAACTTAGAATGAACTTAGCGGACTTAGAAAAACCTCTTTTCTAAGTTCAAGATAAGTTACTTATAAGTCCAAGCTAAGTGCTAAGTCACTTATAACTCCAGCGTAAGTACGACCCTATCCCAGTAGCCCCCTCTCCAGGGCCTGCCTGAGATCATCCGGCCACGCCGACACTTCCAAGGGCTTGAGAGTGTGGTTGAGCATCCATGCCTGGTTGGTGTCCTGGGTGCGCTTGTTTGCCGCCTGAGCCTCCTGAATGGAGCCCATCGCCTCGGCCAATGCCTGGCTGGCGTCAACGCCCTTCCCTTCCAAGTACTGGTCTCTCAGCTTGGCCTTGAACCGCTCCAGGTTGACCTTCCTGAGGGCACGGGCTCCCTCATTGGCCACCTCATCTGACGGCAGGGCCTGCATGCCCTCCTGGAGGGGCGCCAGGATCGCCATCTCGTTGTCCAGCATCTCCTCAGTGACCAACTCCTTGTGCCGCCGCCTGGCCGAGGCCTCCTCCGGAGTCGGTTCCCGATGCTCCCGCAAGGCCTTATGCAGCTCCTCCTTCTTCCGGATCGCCTGGTCCACCTGGGGGTGGTAGAGCTGGAAGCTCTGAGCCTCCGCCTCCTTCAGGGACCGCTGCACTTTGACCTTGATCTCCTGGCATTCCCGGACCTTCAACGCCTCGTCGTCCGCCTCCATGGACAGGATCTCCTGCCGGATGTCCACCCGCCTGTTAAGCGGGACCGCGTCTGCCATGGTGATCTCATCTGCCGTGTCCGTTTTCGGAGGGGCTCTCCCCAGGACCGTGCCGTCCACCAAGTTGCGGTCGGCCTGTGCCCGGGTACCACCGGGGCCAGCGGCACCCAGGCTTCCCCGTTCCCGCTGCTGGATCCAGGTCGGCTTGCCCTCCACGATGAGCAGGTTGTAGGTGATGCCGTCCGCCTCATAGGTGGCCGAGGGTGCCTGGAAGGGGACGAAATCCTTGCCTGGGCAGACCCAGCACTGCTTGGCTGCCTCTGGCCACCCCGTACCGCATGCCTTGCACATGAACTTGTAATCGGAATGGCCTGCGTCGAGCCTGTGCACTCGCTGGGTGCCAATGCACGCCTTGTTCCTCTGGAACTGCGAGGCCCAGACCTCCTCCTGCCGGATCTGGATCTTCATCGGGACATAAGCCTCCAGGATGCGAATCACCAGGTCCTCCGTGAGATTCTTCCCGACAAACTTGTGGAACAGGGAGACCGCCTCCTCCACCGTGATGTCCCTCAGCAAAGTGGCCGCCGATGCTGGAAGGACTGGAAAAAGGTCTGGGAGGTCCACCAGCTTGAAATAACCGGGTCGGCCCTCAACCGGCACCAAGGAGACCGGTTTGTTAACCTGAGCCGTGGTCTTCTGGGAAGCCGCCACGAAACCCCTCAACCTCTTCGTGGGTGGCGTCTGTGCCTCCTCCGGTGGCGTGGCCCGCTCCGTGACGTCCGCGTCTTCCATGTCCTTGTCATCCTCCTCGGCGGGGCCAGGGGCACCCAAGCCGGAAGTCGGTGTGGCAAATGCCACACGGAGACGCTCCAGTGCACTGGAGAGGTCCTTCATCACATCAGTAGCCGAAGCCGACGGGGGGGCCTCGGGCTCGTCCAAAACCAAGCCGGCCGCCACTGCCGCCTCGCGTGTGCGAATTTCCTGGGCCTCCTGGCTGGCCATTTCAACCTCCTCCACGGTGAGTGTCTGGTCCTCAATCAGCTCAAAGGAGGTGGCCGAGGTTGCCGAGGAAGCCATTGCTTGATCGGGGTTAGGTTCGAAAGTGTCAAAGCTCAATTTTTTTCAAACAGCTTGGGTTCCAGGAACCCAGACAATGCTTGAGCCAAAATGGCACATGCCATTGTGGTCAAGCATTCCAAACACAGTTCATGTTTCCACATGCGTTTCAACATTAACAAAATGTCTAAACCCCCCTTTTTGTCCTAGAATGAGGGACCCCGCTTCCGCGAAACCGATGTTGACTCGGTTCTATAGCTCCAATGCTTACAGTGTCACATATCACATCCCAACCCCCGCTCTCAAAACAAGAAGAAGAACAAAAAAAACAGATCCGGGCAAAACCGCACTCTCCGGCCTTCCAGACTCCTGCCTCCCCAGTCCATCAGAAAACCGAAAAACCGAAAAGCCGAAAAAGCCCGGAGGAACCCGATGGGAACACCAGCGAAAGGGATCCAGCTTGCTTCCTGACGGCTCAGGAACCAGCTACCAAAAAATAATAGAACCTGGGATCAGCTTCTGCCCCCGAAACCTCACTTCCAGTCAAGGCCCCAAAAAGGCTGACCCAATTTGGTCTTTGCTTTCCACTTGAATGGTCCCAACCCAAAAAGAGTGATGTGTAATCCAACTCAGGAAGCGAGGAAGAGGCGCCTAGTTGGCTAGCTCACATGCTGAGGGCAAACAGTTCCTCCTCTTTGTTGGGTCTTCCCAAGCGAACAGTTTTGCTCAGGGAGACGCCCATAGATGACTGTCTAAACCAGTGACAAAATCAGTTCGTACCACCCAAGAAACCCAACGGAATGAGTCGATTCCCCCTGCAAATACCAACCAACCATGGTTTCAACCATGGTTCCAAAGTGCAGGAGTTCGTCCGTCCGCAGTATTCAAGCGAAGCAACTCCTTTTGGGGCACCAACCCTGGGCACCCCGTCCTTGAGGCAATTTGGTGGAAGCACATTGAGGGCATACCCGGCCGGGTAGTGCAGAGCCTCCGAAACAGTTCGGGGCGCGTGCGCCTTTTCCTTCGGGGGACCCCCCGCCAAAAGGGATTCTGACTTTTTCCTTTTGGCGTCCACAACTAGGTCCTCCAGATTTGAGAGGTTTAGAATAAGGCTACCAACTTTTTTCTGTAGTCTATTGTAGTAGCGGAACCCTCCCCCAAAAAAGAAACGGCAAAAGGGCACTGCTGGGGGACCTAGCCTTTAACCCCCCCCTCCCAAGAAATACCACAACACAACAGGTGCCCCCCTAAAAGAAGCAGGCAGACCCCTCGTGCCACCGGATCACCGGGCAAAGCCTCGCGAGCTTTGCCCCCCCTAACTTGTTGGCCTTGAAATAGAGAAACCCAAAAATAACTTCCCCATTCCTTCTATTCATCCTTTTTTCCGGAAAGCCATGCTAAAAAAAAACGTCGTGAAACAAGCGGATTTCGAAAATAACCTCGAAAATAATGGGACGTGGACCTGAAAACAACCTGCCAACGCGCAGTTGAACGTTGCGAAATGTCGGAGAAACCTGGCAAGAAGCTTGAAGTATAGAAGCACAAGTACTTCACGCAGCGACGTCTCCCTTTCGGGACCTTTTTAGGTTCATTTGGTGCGCGCCAAAATAGTATTTCCCCCCCCCCCCACCAAAAAACATAGATAGATAAGTATATATATATGGCAACAGGCCCTTCTATGATCTACATTTTACTGCTTGGAAGCTTTCCTTCGTTTCAAACATTTCAGATATTTCAGATATTTTCTGGATATTCAGATTATTTTAGAGTATTTCAGATATTTTAGATATTTCAGATATTTCAGATATTTCAGATATTTCGGGAAAGTCAGATATTCAAATATTTAGATATTCCAGGACATCTCAGATATTTCCAGCATTTGAGACATTTCAGATATTTCTGATATTTAGAATATTTTCAGTTATTTTCGATATCTTTCAGATATTTCAGATATTTTCAGATATTTCAGATATTTCAGATATTTCAGATATTTCAGATATTTCAGATATTTCAGATATTTCAGATATTTCAGATATTTCAGATATTTCAGATATTTCAGATATTTCAGATATTTCAGATATTTCAGACATCTCAGATATTTCAGATATTTCAGATATTTCAGACATCTCAGATATTTCAGATATTTCAGATATTTCAGATATTTCAGATATTTCAGATATTTCAGATATTTCAGACAAAACAGATATTTCAGATGTTTCAGATATTTCAGATGTTTCAGATATTTTTTCAGATATTTCAGACATTTCAGATATTTCAGATATTTCAGATATTTCAGAGATTTCAGAGATTTCAGAGATTTTTCTGATATTTCAATTATGTTGAACATTTCAATGAAATGTTTGAAATATCCAAAATATCCGAAATATCTGAAATATCTGAAATGTCTGAAATATCTGAAATGTCTGAAATATCTGAAATATCTGAAATATCTGAAATATCTGAAATATCTGAAATATCTGAAATATCTGAAAAATCTGAAATATCTGAAATATCTGAAATATCTGAAATATCTGAAATATCTGAAATGTCTGAATATGGCAGCCCAGGCAACCCCAAAATCCAACTCTGAAATATCTGAAATATCTGAAATATCTGAGATGTCTGAAATATCTGAAATATCTGAAATATCTGAAATATCTGAAATATCTGAAATATCTGAAATATCTGAAATGTCTGAAATATCTGAAATATCTGAAATATCTGAAATGTCTGAAATATCTGAAATATCTGAAATATCTGAAATATCTGAGATGTCTGAAATATCTGAAATATCTGAAATATCTGAAATATCTGAAATGTGTGACACGTATACAACGTCAATATTTGAAATGTGCGCATCACAAACATATTATTCGTATACGATTCTTTTCCAATCCGGTATATTATTATATTGTTATGTTTGTTTGATTATATTATCACATTAAATTAGTATATTATTAGTATCATCTTATTACATTGTTATATTATTGTATGTTTATTATGATGCTATAATATTATTATTATTATTATATTATTATTATATTATTATTATATTATTATATATTATTATTTTATTATTTTATTATTATATTATTATATTGTTATTATATTATTATATTATTATATTATTATTATATTATTATATTATTATATTATTATTATATTATTATATTATTATATTATTATATTATTATATTATTATTATATTATTTTATTATTATATTATGTTATTTTTTTTTATTTGTTTTATTATTTTATTATTTTATTTTTTTTTTTTATTTTTTTTTTTATTATTTTATTATTTTATTATTTTATTATTATATTATTATATTATGATTATATATTATATTATTATATTATTATTATATTATTTTATTATTTTATTATTATATTATTATATTATTATTTTATTATTTTATTATTTTTTTTTAAAATATTTTATTATGTTATTATTATATTATTATATTATTATTTTATTATTATATTATTATTATTATATTATTATATTATTATGTTATTATTATATTATTATATTATTATTATATTATTATATTATTATTTTGTGAGTATATTGCTATTATTATACTATCAAATCTTATTATTAAGTTATTATATTACTATATGATTATCATTTTCATTTTATTTTTATTATTCTTATCATTTTACATTTTGTATTATTATAAAA